AAACTAAGAGTCAGACACTCAACCGACTGAGCCACCCAGGCGCCCCTGTGGCACATTTTAGATTAGAGGTCATCAAGTGTCACGATCCCTGTGGAGATGAGAACTGTTTTTCAGTGCTTATTGGTAACTCAGCATAAACTGCCAATTCGTAGAATTACGAAATTTTCAGAGCTGCAAAGGGACATAGGAAGTAATGGTCCAGTGGCCTCTTTTTGTAGCTCAGAACCTATGGTTTTCCCAGGACCAAAATTAGATCTTTGAACCCCAGGATAGGGATTTTTTTAGTGCTGTCTCCAAAGTCAACTTTAGCTTTTTTGTAATCTGGTACATGTGAGCATTTAATCATTTGACTATAATTACATTTTGTATACATGTGTGAATTTTACTTCCAGCTCATGTCTGAATGTGTGATTAGATCAAAACTCTCTTATTACAAAATTCTGTCTAGTTTTTGGAGCTTTGGTCTCTAATCAATATCAGGTATAATCAAGTCCCTGGTATTAATATCAAAAGGTGAAAGCAAAGATGTTTTAGATAGTTTCTTACTTCTGACCCTTAGCTGTTGAAAGAGACAAATAATGGTGACTTACCTTCAACAATATTAGAAGGTTTCAACTGACCTGGTAAGGGCTGTCGTCATCAAATAAGAGAAAAAACTCAAATATAAAGAAAAGTGTTTCATTTTCTCATCTAAACAGTGATAGAAATTAGACAAATGATTATACTCTTGTTTAACAAACATTCCTTTGATTTTTATGATATGGTTTAGAATTAAGCCACAGAAAGGTTATCTTTAATGTTTCATCTCTGGTTTAGAGACTTGGATTTCCAAGATCCACCTGTATTGCAACTGAAAGGAACAAATGAAGCATCATAGAAATATAGAGTACCAATTATACAATTTTTATTGTTGGGTATGATGCTTTAAGAAAATAAAGTCTTTGTGGTTTTTGTAACAATTCCACAGAACATATTTTAAATTACCTGTTATTTTAGCCAAAGTTGCCATTTTTATTGATGAACTCATTTCAGTCATTTCTCTGCATATTTAAAGATGAATCGGTAAACAAGTATGAAATGACAGAAGTAATGAGAGGTTGGTGTGTGGTATATGCAGCTTACTCTCAAACATTGTGTATTTTCTAAGAAAGGAGAGAATCTGTGTGTATTTCTCAAAAAAAGAGGATATTCTCTTTTGTTCTGATAATACAGTTGTCAAGTGGTATAATCTCTTGACAATACCGTTCTCTCCCATACCCCTTCACTGTTCGATTGTTACTCTGAGCTCATAGGTCCTTTTTATTCAGTGAGATCTTTTTGGTCCTGAAAGTGTCCGAAAATTTACCAGTGGGAGCCCCTACGGTGGCTCCTAATTCCTGTTCATATGTACCCATTAGTTTTTGAGAAATTGCTTGCTTTTTATGGCACAAAAGATGTTCCAGGCCCACTTGGTACTTTTCCTGCCCTAGACCTGGAGTCAGCTATTTTCCTTAAGAAGCCTTAGTTCCTTTGAGTGGGAGATGGTATTTGCAAACCAAGATCTGAGTACCAGCTGTGCTCATTGATAATGGGGTGGTATTGCTTTAAGGCTTTTTAATGAAAGATGCTTGGAATTTTTTTTTTTAAGCATGAGGTCATGTTCATACCTCCAGTTCAAATACAACACACCCAGATTCTTCGTACCTTCCCCATTTCGTACTTTGATGTTCAGCTATTGCCACATCCCCTTTGTAGAGCTTGTACTATTTTGCACACCGATTCGGCGATGGATGAGTGTGCCTGTGTCCCCACAGGCTTACCAACAGGTAGGGTGTTGTCAGGCTTTTGAATTTTTGCCCTTTTGAAATGTAACAAATCACATCTCTAAATAGGTTTGATTTGAGTTTCTCTTACCGTGTGTGAACTTAAGCATTTTTTTTCATGTTTAAGGACTAATTGGATATCTTTGTGTGTATACAGTTGATCACATGGGGTTGAACTCTGTGGGTCCACTTATATGCAGATTTTTTCGGTAAATACAGTATAGTACTATAAATGTATTTTCTTTTCCTTAGGACTTTCTTTTTCTTTTCTCTAGCTTCCTTTATTATAAGTATGCAGTAGGGGCGCCTGGGTGGCTCAGTCATTAAGCGTCTGCCTTCGGCTCAGGTCATGATCCCAGGGTACTGGGATCGAGTCCCACATCGGGCTCCCTGCTGGGCGGGAAGCCTGCTTCTCCCTCTCCCACTCCGCCTGCTTGTGTTCCCTCTCTCGCTGTGTCTCTCTCTGTCAAATAAATAAAAACTTAAAAAAAAATAAGAATACAGTATATAATACTTCCAGCATACAAAATGTATGTTCATCGACTGTTTATGTTTTCAGTAAGGCTTCAGTCAACAGCAGGCTACAAATAGTTAAGTTTTGGGGGAGTCAGAAGTTATACGTGATTTTCAACTGCATGGGGGTCGGTGCCTTTGTTCAAGGGTCAACTATACTATCCTTTCAAGTCTTTAGCCCATTTTTCTACCTTTTTTGGGTCATCTTTTGGTAGATTTAGGAATATTGTGTGTGTGTGTGTGTGTGTGTGTGTGTGTGTGTGTGTGTGTGCATGTCTGTGTGTAGGAGCTTATCTGCCTAAAACCAAGAACTCTTGAGAAATTTTAAAGAATTTTCTTCAAAAAAATTTAAGGTACTTGTTGCACATATTTTCATCCAGTTCACCATTTGTCTTTTGTCTTGGCTTATATGTGTGCTTACTAATTTTTAAAAATGTGTTTTCTTCACACAAAAGGCTTTTATTTATCCATTTTTCATTGCATCTGGGTTTGTCATAGTCAGAAACCACACCCAGGTTTCAAGTGCATCCACACAAGTTTTCTTGTAGTATTTATGGTTCCTGTGCTTACAGTCAGAGCTCTTACCCATGTGGACTTTTCCTGGTTAAAGGTGTGAGGTGTGGATCCAGTTCAGTCTTTTTCTAAGTAACTAGCTGTTTGGAAAGCCATGTGGGCTCTCTTGTTTTGTTTCAGGACTTTCTGTTCTGTTCAGCCGGTTGGCCCGTCTAGTGGGAGATTCCGTATGAAAGAGCACGGGCTGCTGTCTGCAGCGGCAGTTGGTGCCATTGCCACGGTTGTGTGCTTCTGGGAGCTCGCTAAACACTCTCGCTGTATGTGTAGGACTGGGTGTAGGCTTGCCGCGGGGTTGGTTGTGGGCCCAGAGGAGGGCACTGAACAAAAGGACTGGTCAGCAAACCCAAAACACCTCCACTTGGACAAGTTTTATTTTGTTGTAGTTCCTTCAGAACTAGATTATGAAATAATACCTTAAACTTAAGATTAAGTAAAATAAGCATGAAAAGCACTTAATATTGCACCTAGAACAAACAAAACAACACACATTCAGCATATAATCATTGACTGGTCTTAGTAAACACTGTGTTTCATCACTAATAAGTGAGGAGGCAACAGTGAAGTAGGCTTTTGGCAGCATCTGGAAGTGGACAAATCTAGGATTGGCTGCCCTTGAACTTGGCAGTGGTTAAAGTGAGATGACAAACGTCTGAGAGGCAGTCAGGGTGCTAGCTTGAAGCTGGACCAGCAGACATTGGGAGAGAAGAATGCTGGACCAAGGATGTCTGCAGGATGGAACAAGGATGCTGGTCTTTATCTTCTAGACCCCTCCCCATCCACTTCTTAGGGCTCTGTACCTGCTGCTCTCTTTTCCTGGTTACTGGGGAAAAGGGCAGTATAAACCCATATGTTCATGGAAAGCCCTGGAAAAAACTTCCATACTTCTCAGTATTAGAATACTAATCAGAAGCAGAACTTCTGTGAAGTAGGTACATTCAGCTAGCTAGGGTGTTAAGGCATGCCAGGTAAAATTACTCTTTTCACCACCAGTTCCCAACCAGTAACTGCTGTATTCTCCATTTGCCAACTGCTGCTAATAACTGCTAATTCTTTCCTCAGGGATTTTTGGGACCCAACCTAAGCACCCCCTACCAGTCTTCCCTGACCACCCCGGCTTGCAAGATCTCCTCTCAAGAGTGAGGTCTTGAGATCTACTATGAGAGACAAATCCTGTTAACATTTTGGTATATTTTCCTCCACTCTTTTTTTTCTCCTATGTATATGATTTTACAGAGTTGAGATCATACTCTCTATATAATATTGTATCTTATCTTCAACTTCTAGCTTTATTGTAAGCCATTTGTAAACAGGGTTTTAAAATTTACATAATATTTCCTGGAGTGGATGGAGTATGATTTGCTTATATTTGTGTTTTCATGCCTATTTTTCTTTTTTTTTTTTTTAGAGCAGAAGCAGTCTGCCTTTTTTTTTTTTTTTTTTTAAGATTTTATTTATTTGACAGAGAGGGAACACAAGCAGGGAGAGTGGGAGAGGGAGAAGCAGGTTTCCCGCTGAGCAGGGAGTCCGATGTGGGGCTCGATCCCAGGACTCTGGGATCATGACCTGAGCCGAAGGCAGACACTTAACGGCTGAGCCACCCAGGCGCCCCGTGTGCATATTTTTCTTATTAGTCCAATCAGATCATGAGAATATCAAAGGGAAGTCACTCTACTGTATTATCCCCTCCCCTACTCCATTAGCTATAGAAAATGTTGTATACATAGATGATAAGTCAATATCTTTACTCGCTTCTCTGTTTTCAGTCTAAATATCATGGGAACTTTTTGCTATAGGAGACCCACAAAGTACTATTTGCAGCTTACTCAGAGTTGTTACCTCCACCCAAATCTCTCCACCCAGAAAAAGGGGGCTCTGGGGAAATATTTGCACGTATTTTAGGGGGCCCATAAATCCTCTGAAATTCTACGAGAAGCATCTGGAGTGAGCATTTGTGCATTTTCCTGTGGTTTTCGCTAGACTCTCGTAGGAGTCCTTATTTAACAAAAAGCCACTAACACAGAGGCTGAAGCCAATCTGGAGATAGATGTATTTATTAAACTTCTCTGAAATCGAAGATACCATTTTTCACCTTTTATTGTTCTTGGCTTTCAGGAAGGGAAGAAACCATGCAGCCTGCCAAACCATCTTTCCTTGAATACTTTGAACAAAAAGAAAAGGAAAATCAGATCAACAGCTTCGGCCAGAGTGTACCTGGTCCCCTGAGGAACTCCTCAGATTGGAAAGTGCCGCAGGATGGAGACTATGAGTTTGTAAGTAGTGCTGGAAGTAGAGGGTTGTGTCTGCCGGGGAGGGTTATTTGCCATATCACACACCCACTTCTGGCACTTCACCGAAAGTGCCAGAGCATTTTCCTAGGCGGTGCAAGCCCCTGGCCATGCCGGCAACAGCCCGGGGCCTTGTGAGTTTGAGATGACACTTTGACTGACATTTGAGCAGTTCTGGGGCTCCTGATTAGTGGCATCTTCTTTGCTTTAAAAATCCTTTATTCACTTGCCATTTTTCTTTTTGTCAAGCTTGGAATCGTTAATGGTAAAAGAAATACTCATCGAGGGGCGCCTGGGTGGCTCAGTTGTTAAGCGTCTGCCTTCGGCTCAGGTCATGATCCCAGGGTCCTGGGATCGAGCCCTGCATTGGGCTCCCTGCTCCGTGGGAAGCCTGCTTCTCCCTCTCCTGCTCCCCCTGCTTGTGTTCCCTCTCTCACTGTGTCTCTCTCTGTCAAATAAATGAATAAAATCTTAAAAAGAAAAAAAAGAAATACTCATCGAGTGAGGACACGGTGTCTTTCATCATTTATTTGGGATTGTGACTTTCTATTTAAGAGTTAGACCAGAGGGCAGTTCATGCTGGTTTGTAGCATCTTTGCTGTTTTGCTAATCATTATCCTAATTTTAGGCCCTCTGAGAGGATTACTCTGAATTTTGCCTGAGGATGAATATTAAATTGCTCCACAGTTTCTTATGAAAAACTGGCTGTGTTTTTCCTTTCTCTGCAGTGGAACATTCTCCCTCAACCACAGACACTTGTTAATGTTCACGGAGATTTAATGAGTAGAGGCAATAAAAAATTGGGGGGAAAAGTAAGCTGAGGACTCTGCATTCCTTTTCTGAATATTTTTGGAAAAGAATGTTCTCTTTAAGGATTTTTAACTTTTACACTCTTAAATTCTGTCATGGTTCTGTTGTTGTTTATCAAAGAACTCAGATTGGGTGTCATAACTGGATTCTGGGAGGCCTTTCTAGGCCTGGCTTTTCATTCTCCTACTCACTGGCCTTCCGGGTAATGACATCCTTCTTCCATAACCTAATGTCTACTGTTGTCCAGTAGCAGGAAGGCCACAGTTTATACTGCTAGCAAAGGAGATCGCTTGAGGACCAGAATAACTCGCCTGAGGCTGGTTAGCTGATGAGCCACTGAAGCCGCAGTAGAGCCCAGCTTCATTTGCTTTATCACGTGTGCCCTCATTTACTTGTTCAGCATCACCTGTTACGATAAGCTATTCACTCAGTTATTAGTCGACTCATGAGATTTGAATCATTTTCGTTCTTATCTGTTGCCCACGTGGTTGTCTTCGGCATATTTGTAAGGACTGATTTTCTCAGTGTAGTGAGTCTCTAGGCAAAGATGAAATAACTTCTGGATACCAGATATCATCATTGTGACAGAAAGCTTCAGAATCCTCAAATCTGTATTCCTAGGTGTAGTTTCCTTTTTTTTTTTTTTAAATGTTATAGTAGTTAGTGATCCTGAAAGTCCAGTCATTCTAATCATTATTTTCGGATCGGTAGTTCCCGTGTTAGAAGACTTCACTTCTCTCTGCCGTAGTTTTCCCAGACTAGCATCACTGGTGGAGAACTTGTTTCAGCGGGCAAGCTGCTTATGCAGAGGGGCTTTAATGGGTCTTTAGAGAGCATGCTTTCCATTCTGGAAGGAGGTGACTGCTGGCGGGAGTGGCCGTGAGCACCATGAGTGGGTGAACACATTGCCCAGCCTGGATGACGCCTGGCCCGTGTGGGAGGAGGGCCTGAGACCACGCCCTCTACACCAGAGCTCACAAACTGGCAGCATCCAGCCCACAGACCTTCTTGTGTGCCCTATACAGGGCTCACAAATCTTTCAGTAGCTGCCTGTATTTAAAACTTGAGAACTTTTAAATGAAATGTTGGCTCGCTGGCTTATTTTGAAAACATAGAAGAGCCAGTCATAATAAACCTACATGGTTGGAGGACAGTTGTGTGGAGCTGAGCGGCAGCTGCCCTCCTTAGGTCCAGGTCTTCTCAGTGTCTGGCCAATTTCATTCATTTGCATTAACCAACCTGTCTGGCACTTAGTGGCATTCAGCACTGGGATTCTTGCTGTAAATCTTCTGGATATGTATATGTCCACATTGGGCTTGAACCAACCCCATCCTGCCATAAAAATTTTATTCTATTTTTACTGTCAAAATTTCAACAGAATTAATTTATAATTTCTCTTTTAAGAGAATTGCAAACTAAACAATGAAAGAAAGTTTAGCTGGGGTGTATATGAGCTCCTATTCCAAAAAATACTGAAGATCAAATGAAAATGACTTTTTTTAAATGTATTTATTTGAGACAGGAAGAGAGAGAGCACACGCGCATGCACAAGCTGGGTGGGGGGAGGGGCAGAGGGAGTGGGAGAAGCAAACTCCCTGTGGGGCTCGATCTCAGGACCCTGGGATCATGACCTGAAGGCAGACACTTGAGCCACCCAGGAGCTCCTGAAAAGGATTTTTAGTGTCATGGTATTCTTGCTAGATAGCTCTTACATGAACCCCAAATCAAGCATTTGAAATAACAGCCTCAGACAGTTTCTTAAAAGTGTCATCCCCAGGCCAGGAGTGTCAGCGTCACCTGGAAACTTGGTAGAAATGCAGACTCTCAGGCCCCACCGCAGACTCACTGCATCAGAGTCTCTGAGGTCAGCACTGAGTAATCTGTGTTCTAACCTACCTTACATGTGATTCTACCTTGCTAAATTCTGGTCTAAATGGTTTTTATTTACTTATTTGTTTATTTTAAAGATTCTATTTATTTATTTGACAGAGAGAGACAGCGAGAGAGGGAACACAAGCAGGGGGAGTGGGAAAGGGAGAAGCAGCCTTCCCGCCCAGCAGGGAGCCCGATGCGGGACTCGGTCCCAGGACCCCGAGATCATGACCTGAGCCGAAGGCAGTTGCTTAACCAACTGAACCATCCAGGCGCTCCTAAGCGGTTTTTAGAGTGTAGTATATTTTTATATAAGTTTCTTCTTTCTTTCCTATTAGGTACTATAGAGATTCAGAGAGAAGGACATATTTGCATTTTATTAGCATTGCATGATTTTTTAGTTTCCTTTTTACTCTCCTTTTGCGTCTCCTGTACTCCAATTGGAGGTATCAAAGAAACACATAAAATAAGGAAAATGTCCTTTTGTAAGTGACATTTGTCAAAGAAAGAGCCGAACTGTTGAGTGAAAAAAGTATTCTGAATAATTTCACTGAGCTTGTAGACGGTTGTGTGTCAGACTAGCTAACTAAAGTCTCCCTCAGCAATCTCTTAGACACTCTCTGATTTTCCAGTAGGCATTTAACAGTATTTAGTTATGAAGTTTAATACATTTAACAGGTTTTAATTATGAAAAAAGATATTCTCTTTCTTCCTGTGAAGGCAGTTGCTATTTTGAAATGAACTTTTTGCCCAAAATGGCAAATAGGAAGTAATTTCATCAGGAGTGGTAGAATTCGATACTGAAAAAAACCTTCATATTTTCCTTTGAAATTGAATACTTTTGCATTTCTGAAATTAAATTACTTTATTTGCCATATTGGAAAAGCAACAAAGGTTTCCTTTAATGTTTAATAGATATTGTGATAAAAGCATAAATAAAAGATGCGGGAAAATGCAATATTTGCTGAAGTTGGTATTTGATAGTCTATAAACAGACTGCACACAGTGAATGTTGCTTCTAGGAGAAGTCAGACCCTCCCACTTTGCCAGTCGTAAAGCCACAAAAGACTGTAACCTTAAATCCAGTTTGGCTCGTGAATCCTCCAGACACACTGTAATCTTTCAGTCTAAGGTGGTGGAATGCCGGGGGGGTGAACGCGACAGATGAGGCCACACTTCCCAGGAGCTCACGGTGGTGAGGGGAACAGACTTTACAGATAGTCTATCTGCTCAGGTAATAATGGCTATTTAAAGAAAAAAAAAAAGCCACAGTAAAGAGATAGTATGAGATAGTATGCCTTGCAGTGTGAGGTACATGAATGAAGAGGGGCAGCACCTACAAAGACCCCAAAGCGGGACGTAGTGGGCATGTGTCAGGAGAGACTGAAGCCCATCGTGGCTGGAGCAGAGTGACCGAGAGGACAGCAGCCCAAATGTAAATACTTCGGTGATCAGAGTACGTGTGAGCACATTAAAATCTCCTTGAGGGGCTCCTGGGTGGCTTAGTCGGTTTAAGCATCTGCCTTCGGCTCACGTCGTGATCCCAGCATTCTGGGATCGAGCCCCACATCGGGCTCCCTCCTCAGCGGGGAGCCTGCTTTTCTTTCTCCCTCCATGTGCGTGTGCGCGCGCTCTCTCTCTCTCTTAAATAAATAAAATCTTTTTAAAAAATCACCTTGAGATCAAAATAACCATCAAACCATCCAGCTAAATCTTGTTTATAAGAGATATAACTAAAATAAAGTATCACGGAAAAGTTTAAAATGGAAGAATGGAAAAAGACACACTGGGTAAAATCCTCCCTAAAAGGAAGTAGGTGAAACAATATTGATATCAGATAAAATTGAATCCAAGACAAAGGACTATTATATGGGGAAGGATATTTTATATTGCTGGAAGGTGTAATTGGCCGGAAGACCTAAGTCGTGAACTTCTGTAAGCATGTAGACTTCTCCCAAATTACTAGAAATACCACCAACAAAGAGAAAACGGCAGTCATAGATGAAGGCTTAGTGTTCTCCCAAAAATGGTCATTTCAGTTAGATTAAAAAAAACAAACGAGTTCCCACAATTAACAAGATTGATAAAACAGAAAATAGGAACATTTTTCAAGTATCTATGACACTTTTAAAACATATACGGAATATTCACAAAATCTGACTATGTTTTAAAGTGCTCAGAAAGAAATCTCGTACAGAAATCACACGGCCACGTTCACTGACTGTAACAGAAGTAGAAATTAACAATAAAGTAGTTAAAACCACTTTGTTCCACTTGGGAATGTAAGAATATATCTCCCAAGT